CGTACAGCCCCGCCGCCGCCCCGCCGCCGCCGCCGCCGCATGTTCCGCCGCCGTCCGTGGCTGAGGAGACGGCGCCGTCGCCGTCGCTCGCAAACAGGTCGGCGCCGCGCTCTAGCAGGTCCTCGAGCCCGCCGCCGGTCCAGCCCTTGCGGGCGAGGCTCTCGAAGATGTCGACCTCGGCGCGCGCGATGCCACACGCGGCGTCGAGCACCTTGACGCTCGTATCCTGGCCGTCGCGTAGCAGCGCGCGCGCGTGGTCGGCGTGCAGCACCGTCAGGCCGTCCAGCCGGGCCGTGAGCTCGACGAGGTGGCCGCGGAACTTGGCCACGTCGCGGCGCTTGTTCTGGCGGTGCAGCTTGAGCCCCTCCTTCTCGAGGCGCCGGATCTCTCGCCCCCGCGTGCGCGCGGCAGCCTCGTACGAGGCCTGCTCGTCGTCCACGTCGCGCCGCCACTTGTCGAGCTCGTGCAGCAGCGGCACTTCGAAGGACCGGTACACCGTCTCGCCCAGGATCTGCTGGTGGTTCGCGATCAGGTGCTGCAGTCCCGCGGCCGCCAGCAGCTGGTCGGCCGTGCAAGACGACGCGGCCGTGGCGGGGGCCGACGAGTGCGCCGTGAGCGAGGCGCTCATTGAGCTCGTCGGCGGCCCGCCGCCACCAACGGTGCTGCTCTGCGTATCGGTGGAGGCGCCGCCGGTGGGGGCAAGACCCAGCGGCGCCAGGGCCGGGGCGCGGGCCTCCTTGAGGCGGGCGCAGGCCTCGAGGGCGCCGCCAAAGGCCGATGCGGCGGTGCCGAGGGCGGCGAGGGCCTGGCGGTAGGCCTTTGCGGAGGAGAGGAGGTCCGAGTAGGCGGCCTGGGAGGCGTCGAGGTCGGCTTTCGTCAGCACCGTGTGGGCGGGCCGCGGCGGGGGCGGGGGCGGCAGGGCGGCGTAGGTCGAGAGCGGGTTCGTGGTCGAGGCGAAGCTCATGGTGGGCGAGGTCGGGACGGGCGGCAGATCCGATGGCGAGAGCGGGCGGTCTGAATCGCTGGCGTCGACGCCGACGGCGGCGTATGTCGTTGCCATCGGCGGCTGTCTGAGTCTTGGACGTTGGGCGATTTTTTTCTTCCTTCTTCCCGGCGCTTATCGGCTCTTTTTGCGGTCTGGGTCCCAACGGCTGCAGCTCATTTGGCCGGCAGACGACGGCGGCGCGGGAGGGTCTTCGGACGGAGGGGAAAGAGGGGAAGCAGCGGTCGCGATAAGATGGTTTAATGTGGCTTGTGGCATACTAAGGAGGACTCTGCCAGGCTTGTCGGCGATGCTGGAGAGCGACGGGCTCGAGCTTTGTCTTGCGCTTTGTTTACTTGGTACCCGAGGGCCCACAGTCTGCGATAAGGCTTGCACGCACGTGGGGGAAGGAGCGAGGAAGGAGCCGCGTGGACCGAGCCAGGCAGCGGCGGGACTTGGTGCCGTATTATTTACCTAGAGAGAGGCATCGGGTGCCTGCCGGACTTGGCACAGGAAAGATACACAGATCTCAGGCCTGCCCGTGCCAGCGACATGAATTATCTGCAACCGCACCATGACATAGCAGAATTCGAGCTCGGCCTGCAAAATCGCAAACTGTGAGAGCGGGTTTCGAAATAATCGAGTCGGGGCTCGGCTGGCCTCTGATTCGTGGGCTTGGCACTAGCTTCTCCACCAGCCCAAACCATGATCTCATCAGGGCTGTTGGGTTCCAACCTCTGGTTCCAACGGGGTTCCAATTAGCGCCGTGGGAACTTGTCAAAAGCCCAACGTCCGGCGCTTCAGGCCCATCATCAAAACCTAGTCGCCGCATGTGCCAAATTGACAGATCCGAGCTTGAGAACCGGCTCATTTTTCTAGTCTAGGATCGAGACCACAAGGCTCCTTTGTGACACCCACCAACACATTACTCCGACGTCATCTAGCAATCCAATATTGATCAATCTAGGCACATTTTGGAGAATGCCCACCAGGATCCTACCCCACTCACCGCCCATGCAGTCAGAAATCCTCTGGCGCAGTGCGGGCGGCATAAGCAATCATCCGTGATACCCATATTTCCCTGTATTGTGCGAGTCCATATTCGAATCGCACTCGCCCAGGTCTAGATGACCCTGTAACGGAGCCGGGTTGCGGCCTGAATACCTACTACACCGTGCCCGCTTGGAAATGTGGCATTAGCCGGAGAGAAGTCGGTTAAAAGAACAGGAGTCGGCTGCTCATTCTCAGCATCTAGAGCTTTCAATTCCTTCTGCCAAAATCTCAAAAACACAACTCGACACCTAGCGGATCTAACTGGCCCGATATCTTTGTCAAGATCCAACCATCCATTCCCATCCTCCACAACCGCCATGGCCGGCATCCTGCTCAAGGGGGCCGGCGTCGTGCTGGTCGCCATCGTCGCCGTACTGTTCCCGACCCTACAGCTCACGTGGAAGGCCTTCGGCTACGGCCGGGTGCTTCAGCCCGTCAGTGACTTCCCCTACACCTGCCGTCGCATCGACCAGCAGCCGCGCCTCAGGGCCTGCGAGGACATGTGGCTGTCCGAGGCCACGAGGCAGCTGTTCCTCGCGTGCGGAGACCCCATGGCGAGGCCACACTGGTCCCCCGTGTAAGTCCCCGACAGCCCATATGCGCTCACTTCTCCCTTTTGTACGCAGCCGGGTTGACAAGCCTGTCGACCTCACTCCCTCTCCAGCGTCCAGGACTTGAACTGGGAGGGCCGCTCCAAAATCGACGCCATCGTCGCCCTGGACCTCGACAAGCCCGGGCCCGACGGCTCCTTCGAGCACAGGGTCCTGCCGCTCAGGGGCTACACCGGCAACGATCAGGGCAGGATCTTCATGAACGGCATCGACGGCGCCGACAAGGTCCAGGAGGGCGGCACGGTCAAGGTCACGCTCGCGCTCACCAACTTCGGCCCGTCGGTCGACCCGGCCACGGGCGCCGTGCTGGACCAGCGCCGCGTCGGCGCCAACGCCACCATCGAACTCTTCGAGACCGGGGCCGGGGCGCGGGAGCTGAGGCACGTCCGCACCTACGCCGACGCGGACGGCATCACGATGCCCAACCGGCCGGCCCTCGTTGGCGCGGACGCGGACGACGGCTTCTACGTGACAAACGAGAGCAGGGAGCGGGCCGGGCTCAAGGCCAAGCTCAACTTCTTCATCCCGCACGGCAACGTGGTCTATTGCCCGGGCCGTCGGGGGCGCGCGGACTGGAGCTGCCGCGAGGTGGCGGGCGGGCACCGCTTCCCCAATGGCATCCACCGCGCCCGCAACGGGCTGGTGTACGTGCCGGCCAGCGGCGACATGGCCATCACCGTGTACCGGGAGGTCGTCGTCACCACCGAAGGGCCCGACGGGGCGACGACGAGGACGAGGACGCTTGACAAGGTCGCCTTCCTCGACCTGGACGGCTACTCGCCCGACAACGTGTCCGAGGACGCCGACGGCGACCTCTGGGTCGCCACCTTCCCCAAGCCCCTGGACGCCATGGCCATGACGAGCGACCCGCTCAACTACTGGCCCCGCTCCGCCGTCTTCCGCCTCCGCAGCTCCACCGACGAGGGCGGCAAGGTCTCCCTGACGGCCGACAAGATGCTCGAGGACAGGGACAAGGAGGTGCTCCCCGGCTCCACGACCGTCGTGCACGACGCCAAGACCGGGCGGCTGTTTCTCTCGGGTAGGTTTCCCGCATCCTCCCCTCCCCTCCCATTCCGGACTAGGATGTTTCGTTTCTGTGAATAGCACCCCCCTCTCCCCTTTTTTTTTTTTTTTTACTTTATAGAGTTCATGGATATGCCGGGTGTGGAGACGGACGGGTGGCTGATGACACCACACGACCCATCACAGGAATCGCCACCCCCTTTATCACGGTATGCGATCCGAGATAATACCTACTTTATTCTTTCGAACGCCCGCATATGGGATGAACATTAAGGCAAGGATCATGACATCTCTCCGTTGGGCTCCCGGGTTGCCCAGGGTGCCATGAGCCCATCGGGGCAGAGCTGCAAGGTGGTGGAGCGGTTTGCATGATGAGAATTTACAGCCTGGGAGCTGGGGGCAACCGCAATGAATGAATATGTGAGGCATATATACAGAAAGCATTTATATGCCATGTACGCCAAAAATAGGCACTCAGGCATGGAGGCAGGCAATATAGACAAGAGAAGCGAAGTGCGTACAACCGTGCAATACCGGGAGCCTGGAAAAGGCAAAAGCCCCATTTCCAGCCTTAAATCGCGTACCGTTCCAGCCGCGGACCGGGTTGTTCTCCCTCCCTCTACATGTACGAGGCGTCGTACCACTTCTCGCTCTGGTAACTGCCGCCGAGGATGGAGTTGATGGCGACGCCCTGGCCCAGCTTGGTGGCGAAGCGGGCGCGCGTGCCCTGGGAGCCCTGGCCCGAGTTGCCGATCTCGCCGAAGAGCACGTTGCTCGTGCGCTCGTCGCCGCTGTTCCAGATCCTCCAGCCGGCCGAGTTGATGACGTTGGTCATGGAGGTGTACTGAAACACGACGCGCGCGTAGGCCCTCCACGGCCGCCCGAGGTAGTAGGCGCCTGCGGGGACGTTGTTGCCCGACGCCGCCTGGATGTTGCACGAGTTGAAGACGTAGTAGGACGGGTTGGAGGCCGAGTCGCGGCCGTTTGCTTTTTTGAGGGGGAAACGTGTCAGTTTTGGAAGTAGCATGTGTGATTTAGTTTGTTGTTCCTCGCTCCCACAACTAGAACTCACCCGTGATGTAGCCCAGGGACTTGCCGAGCACGCGAATGTCGCTCTTCTGGAACCAGGCGGCGGCGTTCTGGCCAAAGATGAAGTCGGTGGCGCCCTGGATCAGGCACTTGGCGTACAGCTGCTTGCCCGTGTTGGCGAGCACGGTGTCCTGGAAGCCCGTGAAGCGGCAGCCGTAGTAGCCGCTGTCGGCGTAGGCGCTGAGGGCGACGGCCTGGCTGCCCTCGCCGAGGCCGTTGTTGACGTTGACGTTGTAGAGGCGGAAGCCGGCGGCCTTGACGCGCAGCGTGGCCGTCTCGTCGTTGGACAGGCCGTCCTTCTGGCTCTTGTTGCTCGTGATGGTGGCGCCGTTGGCGCCGTGCGAGTCCGTGTCGGTCGAGTAGCCGTACACGGTCAGCTGGGCCTGGCGCGACGGCACCAGCACCTGCTCGCCGTACGTGCCCTGGTCGATGAAGATGCACTGGTCGGCTGTCGAGTTCGTCGACAGCGAGTTGACGGCCGCCTGGATGGTGGCGAAGCGCCCGCTGCCGCCGCCCTTGCTCACCGTGATGCAGCCCGACGGCGCGCTGGTCCGGCTAGCGGCCAGGACCGCCGTGGCCAGCGAGACGAGGACGGAGAAGCTCTTCATCGTGTTGGGGGGAGTGGGCTGAGGGGGAACTGCCGAGATCCGGGGTACGTGGTGGTGGATGCTGGCTGAAGGGCAGGGCTCAGGGGCAAACGGAAGATCTAGGGAAACGGTCTCGGTCCTCTTTATAACAACCATCTACTTAGGTAGGTAGCTCGGCGACAGGCTCCCAACGCGGCACGTGTATACCTACGTAAATACATAGATTAAAGACAGGCACCTGCGACAACAAGCCCGTTCCGTCAGGCCACTGGCCCTTCTGCCGGCCGACTGGTGGACTTTCTTTTAATTCCCCTAAACGGCCGGCAATCCCCACCAACAAGGCCACAGTAACATTGTAAAATAATGCAGAGGTGCGGAGAGGGGCAGCCCGTTTTGCTTGCCGGCCAGGGGACGGGCGTATCCCAGACGCCAGCGTCCTGGTCTGCTTTGTTTTGGAGGCGGGGAGAGGCCGACTGAAGAAGAGGAGGTTCCGCTGCCGGCTTTTTGCTTTTTTACTTGGCTCGCCTGGCTGCCGGCGGCATCGTGCAGCTGCGGCTGATGTGCCTCCAGCTGTGGAAGAATTTAGGCGCCGCCCAAGTCCAGTTGGTGGATAAATTCCGGCGTCTTGGCGGTGCGGTAGGGGTGTGGTCGCTGTGGAATCGATCTGCAGACGGAGCCTGGCCAGGGTGCCAGGGCATCTCTCTGGGGGAGGCTCAGTTCCTGGTCTCTGTGGCGTCAACGTGGCTGTCTTAAGCCCACGTGACGCTGCTTCCGTCGGTTGGTGGGGTCCTGGGCGCTCGTCTTTACGCTTGCCTGGGTGCTGACGACATGGAATCGGCGTGTTAGATAACTCGACTGACATCGCGACGGGACGTGATCAACCAGTCAGAGCACCATCGCGCATTGCGACTTTTGATCGATTTTTGGCGACTCCCGGTTGCTTTGTCTCACTCTCATTCTATTTCTCCTCCCCCTAGTTTGTCCATAACCTCCCGCCACCATGTCTGTCCGCGCAGCACCCCTCCGCTTCCCGGCCGTGGCTCGACATACCGCCACCGTCATCTTCGTCCACGGCCTCGGCGACAGCGGCCACGGATGGGCCTCGGCAGTTGAGAACTGGCGCCGGAGGTCAAAGCTGGACCAGGTCAAGTTTATCCTGCCGCATGCGCCGTCCATCCCCATCACCTGCAACGTAAGTTCAGCTCCGTAGGGCATCGCTCGGGTCACACGCGCCGTCGTATTTTGGCCTGTGCGGCGGTGGCATCAGCAACAGCGTCGTGGCTGTTCATATCTGGCCTCGACCCCTTTCCCGTCGGCTAACTCTTGGTGCGGATTACTCCCCCGACGATAGGGTGGTATGAGAATGCCCGGTTGGTACGACATCGTAAGTAGGTCCTCTCGTGTATGGACATGAGCCTCCAATAAGTGCGGGATCGAGATCCTGCTGCGCCTCTTCATCCTGACACAGACCTTGTTTTGCTCGCCTTCCAGGCTAGTCTCGACGGGACCCCCGAGAGCCTACGCGAGAACGAGGACGAGGCCGGGATCATGACCAGCCAAGCCTACTTCCACAACCTGATCCAGCAGGAGATCGACTCAGGCATCCCCGCGGACCGTATCGTGCTCGGCGGCTTCTCACAGGGAGGTGCCATTTCCATCTTTTCGGGGCTCACCGCCAAGGTCAAGCTGGCGGGCATCGTGGGCCTGTCTGCGTACCTTCTCCTCGCGTCCAAGTTCGAGGGACTGCTTCCCGACCCTGAGCTCAACAAGGAAACGCCCATCTTCATGGCACACGGGACACAGGACGTCGTTGTGCCCACCGCCATGGGCATACTATCACACGGCTTCCTTAAGGAGGCCGGCTACAACGTCACCATGCGAACATACCCGTACGTCGTGCTTCCTTGACAGTAGCTGTCTGCTCGCCACCGAGCTCGGGAGAGTCTCGGCTGAAATGCTGACCTGTGTTGACCCGAAATTCGACAGAATGGGCCACTCGGCATGCCTGGAGGAACTCGACGAGGTGGAGGCCTTTTTGGGGACGAGGTTGCCTCCGCTGTCTGACGCGCCGTCTGAGGCCAAGCCGGAGCTATAGTGATTCCATGCAATTCGATGACAGAGCAACCCATGCCAAAGCGGGAGGAAGGGGTTGCCGTTGCCAATCGCGGCAACGGCGTGCCTAGTCAAAATAAACTCGGCCTATCACAGCACGGCTCGATTGACCGGTTCGACATCTCGGCAAGTGTTGGAATGCAACCCCTGGGTGGTAGCTTATCTGTAATGCAGTACAAACACATTGGGGAGCATGAAGAAGAAAAAAGAAAAAAAAGACCCGTGCCATATTCGGTATATGGCTGCCTAGCATATGTGGGGAGCCAATCCGCTGGCAATGGGCTGGAAGCCTCAGGATAATCTCCAAACGAGTGGGACATCCCAGCGCCCAAAGCCATTGACCAACCGCATCCCCGGATTCTACGAGAGGTCAATGGTCAGCGCTAAATCCATGCTGCCCCCCTAAATTAGGCTCTTGCCCACCCCCCTTTGGCTTACCTATCCTGGCTCGACTATCCATATCCGGCTCGACTATCCTGCCCACTCGCAGGCTCCGTTTCGTTCTCTGTGGCTTGGCGCTGGTCAGTTAGTGATGGTGGTAGTGGACTTGTCCCCCTTTCTTGCCGGGCGAGCCTTGTGCCTCAAACCGCCCCCCGGTTGGCCTCCTATCGGGTTGTTTCCTTTTGACCGCCAGACGGATGGGCTCCTGCAGCCCTGCTGACCGCATCCTCGCCGTCCAGATCTCGCCCGACAATAGAGTTGGTGGGTGGCCGCATCAGATCATCGCGCTTGTGCGCTGCCAACCCCCAACCGCTGGGCTGATCATGCGCGGTTCGGCTTCGGCTAGGAGCGAATGGCCAAGCGCCCCAATTTGAAATTGGAGACTACCTACATGCCCTACCACGCCCTGACCAAAAAAGTCTGGACCGCAAATTTTTTCCCCCACCTAAACTCTACCTCTCCCAACACAATTGCACCAGCACCAAAGCCAAACAACATGCCCGCGCCGCATTCTACACCTAAAAAAACACGCGTTTAAGGAATTTGTAATTATTTTAATGCAAAAAGCATTACTTATAGCCACAATAACGTTTTTCGCTTTTTATAAATGCAGGGGGTAAAATAATTGCAGATTGAATGAGCTCCTTTTTTTGT